GCAAAGGATAATCAGACTACAACCCACAGCTCCAAAGGGGCTTTCTAACAAGGAGAATCCCCAGAGGAACACATTGACTGCCCTCAGAAGGGAAAATTGATGAGATCTTCATGAGTAGACTGGGGGTGAGGGGATGCAATTGAGGGTAGGGGATGGGGAATGAGAATATAAGGGAATGGGATGGTCGAGCAGAAATAGGGATGAAGTGGAAGAGCAACAAAAAGTATACTATGACAGAGGGAGACATCATGGGGATATGGAGAAACTGGGTGCTAGGGAAGTTCCCAGAAATCCACAAGGATGACTCCACCTGAGACTACTAACAGTAGTGGAGGGGGTGCCTGAACTAGGTACCCTGGTAATCAGATTAGTGAATACCCTAACTGTCATCATAGATCCTTCATCCAGTAACTGATTGAAGCAAATCCAGAGATCCACAGCCAAGCTCCAGGAGTCCAGGCAAAGAGAAAAAAGGGTTCTATGAGCAAGGGGCATCAAGATCATGATGGATAAACAAAGACAACTAAATCAAACTAGTAGGAACTCATGAACTGTGGAGCCTCCATGGGATTGGACTAGGCCCCCTGCATAGGTGAGACAGTTATGTAGCTTGATCTGCTTAAGGAGGCCCCTGGCAGCGGGGTCAGGATCTATCTCTAGGGCATGAGTGGGCTTTTTGGAGTGTTTTGGTGTGCATGGTGAGACATCTTACCCAACCTTGGTGTAAGAAGAGGGCCTTGGACCTGCCTCAACTGAGTCTATCAGGCTCTGATGACTCCTCACGAGAGACCTTGTCTTGAAGGAGGTGAGAATGGGAGGGAGGAAAGCTGAGGATGGGAGAAGAAAGGGATGGGGATTTGTGGTTGGTATGTAAAATGAATAGAAATTTTCTTAATAATACAAAATTATAAGAAAAAGATGGGACTGCATGAGCCCTTTTTGCATCCATGCTGAGGTACTGGCATGCTTGATCTTATGTCACAATCCCCATGAGTTCATGTGTGTAACTGCACTCTGTTTCTCTGCAAACAACTGCTCTCTCTGGCTCAACAATCCTTCTATCCCCTCTTCCTTGGTGATCTTTTAGTCTTAGGGATTTGTAGTAATATAAAATTGTAGAGTCCTAAAGTACTACCCAAATCTCGTACCCATGGGCACACAGTCAGGCCTATATGGAATCAGTGGATATTAAACAACAACAACAAAACACATGAAATGTGGAGGAAAGCATTATGGAGGATATAGTAGAAGAACTGGAGGTGAGGGAATGGGGTGAGGATTTGTTCAAAACACTTTATATAGTATGTATGAACATTAAACAAAAAGGAAGAAAGTACAGGGGCTAGACAGATAGTCATTGGTTAAGAGACTATTCTGCTCTTGCAAAGGGCACAGTGTTTGGTTCCTAATATACACATTAGGTGGCTTATGACTGTCTGTAACTGCAGTTTCAGGGAGATTCATCACCTCTGGTTTCTGTGGGCACATGTGCATGCACCTACACATAAACACATGAGCACAATATTTAAAATAATAAAAAAAACTTTTTATAAATTGAAAAGTTAAAAAAAGAGTTCCATATATCACATCTGTGGGATAAGTAGTGCTGGTACTATTTTTCATTCTTACTTTAAAGATGTGAAAACAGACACATTGGAAGAAGCTTTTGAAAATGATGAAGCCATTAAACCAAGAAATGGGGAGCGTGCTTATAAATCTGAATTCTAACAGGGAAAAACTTGCGTAATATCAGGGATCAGAAGAGTAACTCTCTGAGGCACCAGAGTTTTCTAGGACACGTTTACTTGCACTCTGCCCAAGTACTCCCACACTCATTAAAAGTTACTACAAACAGAATGTGCTCACAGGTCCAACAATTTCACCACGTAGCCTTGACAAGAGTGTGGGTTAACTGAGCTCATGAACTCATGTAGGGAAGGTATTACAAATAACCCTGATGTGTTACAACGGAGCGATTTCATCACCAGGAAATTAGGGGAAAAAAACAAGATAACAGGAGAAACAAATATTACAAAAAATTCCTCCCAAAATTATCCATTCCCCAAAATGACCTCCAATCAGAATGGATTAGATGAAATACAATAGTCCTCAAATGAATGATTATATGTATTGCCAACAAAATTAAAGAAGAAAATTAACCCAACAATATATCACATGATGACACAAAGAAACAGTTAAATGAAAAGGAGAAAGTGAATTAAACAAACGTGAAAGAGGAATTCAGTGAAGAGCATACTGAAATGCTTGAAGGGAACACATTCAGTGTAACAAAGGGCTTTGTGGAAAGCCTTGCCAATAAAATGTATCAGGGCAGACTTTGAACTTGAAGACAAGATAGCAAAATTAGAACATTTCAATGAGTAGAGAGAGGGACTGGGCTTTTACCCATGTGGGTGCTGGGAAGCAAACCAGGGTCCTCTGAAAAAGCAGCAAATGCTCTTAACTTCTGAGCCATCCTTCCAGTGCCTCTCCCTTTCTCCCTTAATTTTGAGACAGAGTGGCATTATGTACCCCTCACTTGCCTGGAATTCACTATGTTGATCAATATAGCCTCAAACTTACAGAGCTTGCTTCTGCCTCCCAAGTGTTGGGATTAAATGTAGGCACTAACACTCCAGAGAGGGGCAAAATTCTCAAGGGAAAAAATTTAATCCAGAAAAGTTTGGGATTGAGCATTTCAACTTTTGAAACACACTAGGAAACTAGATTATTATAACAAACACAGATGTTGTTCAGTCATGATAGAGAAAGAAGAGAAAACATTCTATAAAAATGATATCAAATCCACTAAGCTACAACTACATAAGATTCTGGAAGGTACCCTTCACATTGAAGAGAAATGTAAACACATCCATTAGGTCATTGGCAAGAATAAACTACACATGAGTGAAAGTTAAGCAAGAGAGGAGCAGGATAACACCAAACAAAATCCACAAAAGAATTATACAACTTTCAACAACAACTATTATTATTATTTTCAATTGCCCCATCTAGGACTAATCAGGGGCTGCAAAGATTGCTCAGTGTTTAAGAGCAATGGCTTCTTTTCCAGTGAACTCAGGTTCCATTTCCAGGATGTACATGGTAGCTCACAACCATCTGTAACTCCATTTCCAGGAGTTTCAATACTCTTCCTGTGCTCCATGGACATCAGAAGTGCAAGTGGTATATAGATGTACATGCAGGTATAACACCCATTCACATAAAACAAGCATATAAAATTAAAAATTAAACACACATACTTATAAAAATGGATGCAAAGGCAGGAATAAGGCTAGGGAGAATGATGCATAGTGTACTTTCCAGGTGTTTCTTAAAACTTGAGTTCAGATATTGAAAACCCAGAATGCTAGGTGGGCTTGATAGCCCATCAACAATTCAACAACATAGAAAGAGGAGACTGGGCATCTTCAGAGCAAATTAGCCTGCACAAGCAAGTTCTCAGTTCAACTGACAGACTCTACCTCAGTGAATAAAGTGAAGAATGATGGATGGAATTTTCTGATGCCAACCTTGGGCATACAAATGCATGCCAACTTATATGCAAATGCACCTCTCCCCACAAGCAACACAAACACATGTGAACAACACACACACACACACACACACACACATACACACTCCTTGAGGAATGAAAACGTGGCTTGGCGATTAAGAGTGCGCACTTGCAGTTTGCCTATAGGGGACCTGGGTTGAGTTTTTAGAACATAAGTGCTGATAAATCTTTATTATAAATAACAGGTATACTCAGGGGTTAAGAGTACTAGCTGCTCTTGCAGAGAACCTGGGTTCAATTACTAGCACCCACATAGAGGCACACAGTCGTCTGCAACTCCAAGTTCTGTAGGCAATGCATGCATGTGGTGCACAGACATAAATGCAGATAAAACACCCATACACATGAAACAAAAATAAAGAAATAAATGTAAAAAAATATGAAAACTTGTGGTATGTTGGGAACACAGTCTAAGAAGGCTATTTATGCTTCTAAGTGCCTAAATTTAGAAGTCACAGAGGCTTTAAATAAATGGCTTAATGATACAACTTATAGCACTGGAAAAACCATAACAAACACCAAATCAGTAGGAAAAATAAAAAGGAAGAGAGAAATAGGTGGAAGGTAAAAGTTAATGAAATGTAATTGGGGAAAAACAATACCAAGAATCAATGAACATTCAGTTCTTTGAATGGAAAAACATCATCAATAAACCCTTAGACAAAGCCACCAAAGGAAAGTGAAAATGCCCAAATTGATAAACTAGAGATGGCAATGACATCATGAAGATCCAGGAACATAAAATCCAGATAATTATGAAGAAAATCTGAAAAATGTTATTTCATTAAATTCAAAATTTGAGAAAAGAAGTATTGTGGTGGTATTGTGTTCCCCAAAATATTGTGCATGCTAATAAACTTATCTGGGGTCAGAGACAGAATAGCCACAATATTAAACACAGAGGATAGGCAGTGGTAGCATACACCTTTAATCCCAGCATTCCAGAGGCAGAAATCCATGTGTTCAAGGATACAGCCAACCATGGTGACTCATGCCTTTAATCCCAGAAAGCGAGCCTTTAATCCCAGGAAGTGATGGCAAAAACAGAAAGATATATAAGGCGTGGAGACCAGAAACTAGAAACATTTGGCTGGTTAAGCATTTGGCTGGTTAAGCTTTTAGGCTTCTGGCAGCAGTTCAGCTGAGATTCATTCAGATGAGGACTCAGAGGCTTCCAGTCTGAGGAAACAGAATCAGCTGAGGAATTGGCAAGGTGAGGTGGCTGTGGCTTTTTCTGCTTCTCTGATCTTCCAGAGTTCACCCCAATAACTGGCCTCAGGTTTGATTTTATTAATAAGTACCATTAATATTCATGCTACAAAGTATGGATTTCTAGAAACATTTATATACCATAATGAAAGCAGTAATTAGAATAGATCAGAAACAAGAAGAGGTAAGATTGAAAGAGTAATTTTTTTTTGGCTTAAACATTTCATTGTATTTTTATTGATTTTTTTTTAATTTCTGCCCTGTTAGGACAATGAACTGGGAAACCACAATTACAATTCACAGACTGCAGCATGAAAAACACACACTCCATTGGAATCTCGTCAAGCCTTTCCTCTTTATTCATTCGAAAGAGTCCAGGACATATGTCAAATATGAGCGCTGTCTTTTTTTTTTTTTTTCCTTTCCTTGGAAGGGGAAAACATTTATTCTGGCATCACTTTTACAATCCCAGGAAGTGGTTTGGAATACCACCATAGTTGCAGGAATAGAAACCATAACAAACTTGGAGAGCATCTGACAGGCAAGGGGCTCCTTGGGTAGAAGGATGCCTCTTGTGCTTAGTGGACGGCCCCCTCAGCTGCTGGCCGCTGAGTCTTCCCAGGTGTTGAAACGAGGAAACAGAATTTCCTACGCAGACACTGAAATTCCTCTTGAGCGGAGTGGCTCTTGTATCTCCAAGCCTCCCCCCCACACTGAGGCAAATTCTCATCCTTTGCTGGAGCTTTTTCAGGCCCATGACCCTCTGAGCATGTCGACCCTGGCCACAACACACGTGACAACCAAGGCTCTCTCCTCTCCGCTGCTTCTCTAGGGTTCAGATGACAATACAAAAACATCACTTGTCAAAACGTAGCAGATATTCAGAACGTGGGCATCTGTGTTTATGAAAATAGCAACCATTTACAGGGTGTGCTCCCCAAGGAGCCTTATTTTTTTTTTGGTTTTTCGAGACAGGGTTTCTCTGTGTAGCTTTGCGCCTTTCCTGGAACTCACTTGGTAGCCCAGGCTGGCCTCGAACTCACAGCAATCCGCCTGGCTCTGCCTCCCGAGTGCTGGGATTAAAGGCGTGCGCCACCACCGCCCGGCGGAGCCTTATTTTTATTTAACACGGTCCTCTGGGGAGTAAGCCCAAAGTCATACACAACATTATAAGACTGGTCAAAGTTTCTTGATAGACAGTGTCAGAATTGACTGGTGCCAATTAAAAAACAAAAAAAACAAAAAAACCTATGGCCCAAATAATTCAGTGGTCCAAAAAGCAACAAGACGTTAACCCTTCAGTTTATACTTGCACACACATACACACACATGAGAACTGTGACAAAAAAAAAAAAAAAGATCAAATTCTGATCCATCCTGTGACTGTGTTCTAAAAGGAAATCTCCAACTGGACTTGTCATAGTTAAGTATTCAAAACACACACAAAAAAAGAAGATTCCCACTCAATTCTGATTTCTAAGAAATCATGGTCGTGGAACAGGCTGGGGGAGGGAGGCGGACAGGGAAGTCAACGGAACAGATTCTACACAAATTGATGAGTAATTTCTCACGGTGCAGCCGCCTGCTTGCATTTCTCTTAAAGATTCGTGGTGACTGCGTGTGCTGTGGCATTCTAAGAGTCAATACTTTATAAACAAGCCAAAGAGTAGGACCAGCTGACTCACTTTTCTTATGGGGAACAGTTAGTTTTACATGCTTCCTGTCAACACACGGAGGAGGCAGATGTAAACAGAATCCTTTACGTTCTGCAGAGAATGTGTTACTACGACAGCATATGCCGTTTGGCCCCAACTAGGAGGACACTAGAGAGCGATTTGGGGGGCTTGTTTTTAAGTGTTTACCTTCCGGAGATTTCAAAACAAGGGCTTTACTAGATCTTGGCAGCAGATGTCTTCCAAGTGGCTCTGAATGAATCAACAGCCCACGAGGCACGGAGTTCCGTGAAAGCACGCTCCTACCTGCAGGTCCACGGGCAGATGTGGAAGTTCACATGGGGTTCTGCTAAATCATGCACACTGTTCCAGGGGGAAAGGGTGCATAACAGAATCACTGCAAGATTGAGAACTGACCTCGGATTATCTCAGGTTGTTCCAAGACTCAGATTTTTCACGGATTCTTCACCTCATTTGGCCCCGAGGAAGGCCTCCCTCTGCTCCAGCTGTGGCGATGTGTAGGGAGAGAGAACTAACCAATCTACCATCATGTCCGGTGACTGACAGGCAGGGGGTGTAATGAAAAGATGGGAGGGGCTCTGTCTCAATGGGCTGCACGTTCCCGGTGATTATCAGAGTTCTAGGAACCAACACTGAATCCATCCATGAACTAACAGGAAGAGGTTAGCTCTCCCTTTCCTTTTCAGTTGAGAAGGCGGTTAGCTCTAAGGGACGACGAAAGAACAAAAGGTCTAACACTAAAAGAAGACACCAGCCCCATCTTGGCACAGTTCTCATGCAGAATATTGCACCCAGTGTTAACCAATGCTAGAAGCGTCAAACTGTATAAATTTAAATGTATTTGCATATTATAAAAATAAAGATTAACATATACATATTTTACACTCGTGACGGAACAGCAATGAACATCAGTCGATCCCTCCTTCACATTGAACAAAACTGAAATCTGAGTGTGCTGGACGCTGCCACCTGGACTGGAACTATGGCTTATGTGTACACGGAAAACAAAATCCCTGAGAAGCCATTCGAAATTTTTTTTTTTTAACTTTTCTTCAAGTAGCTCTCTCCTTGGAGGATCACAGTTTCTGAGGTTCAGGTTGTGAATCGTTTGCTCCAATGTTCGCTCCCATCTTCCCAGCCCCCTCCAACCTCCCTCCAACGGTCCTCTGCAAGCACCTGGTGCATGGTCTCACCCTGGGCCCCAAAGGCGCTTGGGAGCATGGCGGGCTCACCAGGGGCAAAAGATGTCCCAGTCAGTTCCCATGCTCTGTTGACTCCATGGAAATTCCACAGCCACGAATGTCACTGGTTTCTGTGCTTTTCACCAACGTTCTTCTTGGAACAGGGGCTGATCACAGTCGGTGTAGGTGGGTAAACCAAGGCCACATTCACTCGCTCGCTGCCATTCTTGGGGCAGATAATCTCTGCCACCCCTTCTGGCCTGGGCTGGCTCAGCAACTCCCCTGGGAAAGCGTGTGGATTGGGGGACCCTCTCTTAAGGCACTTAGAACAGAGGATGTGCACGGTGTAGTGCAGTCCAGGCCATTCCTGAAGCAGCACGTTCAGTTCCTCGACCAAAGGGGTGACGGCTTGCCATGCCGTCCATATATTTGGTAACGATGCATGGCTAGCGATGGACAGGGTGTCTGGCTGCAGGACCCCCTTGGCGGGCCTGTAGCTCACCACTACGGGAACTTTCCCTCTATAGGCAAAGATCTGAAATTTCCCATCCGACCTGTGCACCACATGGCTGTTGATCTGGACACTGTAGCGCGCAAACAATCCAGGTGGAAAAGTGAAGGGAAAACTATATTCAATCTGCAACTGTTCGGCCACAAAGGACTGCCCAGCCAGGTTGGTCCCTTTAATCCAGGCCTCTGCTTGGGGCACCTCATTCTGCACGTAGCAGGGGAACTTGTACCAAGCCGTGGAGCCATTCAACGGCTTGCCTTTGGGTTTATTGAGGCAGTAACAGAGCCCCATCTTCTCCAACAGCTCCAGGAGGAGCTGCAAGTCCTGCTGGGCCTGGACGTGAGGCTTCAGCAGCAACCGGATGACGTGGGCCGGCAAGAGCCCATGCAGCAGAAAGCCTTCCACATAATGATGAAGCTGAGTGGCCCGGAGTGGGTCCTGACCCGGGGTGGGCACTGCCGGAGTGAGGAAGCTCTCCCCCTCCCCCTCCCCCTCCCCTTCTTCACTGGTCCCCAGGAGCAGTTTATGCAGCAGCAAAGAGGCATCTCTCTGGAAAAGGACATTGAGGATGTCAATGAGGTGGGTGAGGTTGTGGAAGACATGCTCCTTGAGGGCGGGGCTATCCTCAAAATAGAGGAGCTTGCCACTCTCATGCAGGTAGGAAAGGGCGCTCTGCAGCCGGTCCTCCGTCAGCCCTGCCTGCAGACCCAGGCGGGCCGAGTCCCATCAACTCAGCCACAGTCGCTGTGCCTGAGGTGGCTGGAAGTGGAGTTCCTCCATCACCTGCCAGGACCGAGGCAGGACTCTGTGTAAGTTGGGGAAGATCTCCCGGTGCTCAGCTACAGAGAGCAGCTTGTCACGGAGGCGTTGCAATTGGTGGGGGTCCCTGCAGCTAACGGGCAACACGGGGGAGAGGATCTGCAGGCGGTGGTTGAGCAGGTATTGAAAATGGGCCTTGCGCCTCCGAAGGTTCTTGTCTGAAACACCATAGTAGGCTGCGTGGGGGCTGGCAGAGCGCAGCTCGAAGTCCCGAGCCAGGGCCTCATCCACCACCTTGGCTAGACGGCTTAGGCCCTCTGCATCGTGCTTCTCCTGGAGGGAGATCTGGCGGTGAATGTCCAGACACTTCTCCTCAAGCTCCCGCTCCCCACACAGGTCCGCGTGTGTGCCCACAATGCACACCACGGCGTGAGGCACCCGGGCCCCCACCCGGTGCAAGAAGGTGCCCACGGTCATAGGAAAGCAGCAAGGTTCATAGGTGGCCAAGTTGACCACCAGCACATACAGGGCTCCTGGGGAGAGGAAGAAGGGCTGGATCACCTCATAGCTTTCATCACCGGCTAAGTCATACACAATGAACCGCAGGCCCCGGGAAGCATCCGCAGTCCAGCTGGTCACCTCGATGCCCTTGCTCCCAAGGGGAGGGAAAAGCAGGTAGTTCTTCTCCTTGTCCCCTCCTCCTTGGTCTCCTTCCACTTTGTCCTCAGTGAGGCAGTGTCGGAGCAGGGTCTTGCCTGCAGCCTTGTGGCCCATCAGGAGCAGCTTGAGGCGGGGCTGCACAGCTGGCTGGGAATGAGCCAATTCCTTCTGGTAGGCTGCGATGTAGGGGATCCCCTTCATGTTGACTTCGTAAAGGGGCTGAATCAGGGGGTTGTCCTTGATTTTCCACAAGCCCACCCGGGAGAGCTGGCCAAAGTTGTCGGGCAGAACAGCGATCTGGTTGCCCTGAAGGACCAGCTCCTCCAGGCCCATCAGCTCCACAATGGAATCCGGCAAGTAGCGGATGCGGTTGTTATCCAACCACAGGGTGAGAAGCCGGCCCAGCCCGGCGATAAGAGATGGTACTGAGGTGAGCTGGTTCCGACTAAGGTAGAGCTCCTCCAGACCAGCCAGGGGCAGCAGCGCATCAGGAAACTCCTCAAAGAGGTTGGAAGAGAGGTTGAGCATTTTGAGCCTTTGCAGGCGGCTGAACTCGGGGGGGGGGGGCAGAGCCTGCAGCCCGTTGTTGTCTAACATGAGACTCTCCAAACTGGCCAGCTCACAGAAGCCGCTGGGCAGGGTGCCAAGCTCGGCCCCATTAAGTCAGAGAATCTTGAGGGCACGCAGGGCACTAATATCCTCAGGTAGGCCTCGCAGCCGGTTGCTGGATACGTCCAGCTCCTCCAGGGCAGCCAGCTGCAGCAGCTGCCTGGGAAAGGCGGTGAGTTGGTTGTGGTCCACGTCGAGGGTGCGCAGGTGGTTGAGGCAGGAGAAGGAATCTGGCAGATGCGCTAGCCGGTTGAAGCTGACAGCCAGCTCCTCCAGGTGGCCGAGGGCACCCAGCTGGGCAGGCAGCGCCGGCAGCTGGTTGTGGCTCAAGTTGAGCTTGCGCAGCTCCCTCAGGGCGCTCACCACCTCGGCACCCAGGACTGTCAGCCGGTTGTGGCTCACGTCCAGCTCCGTAAGGTGATGGCCTAGCTCCGCCACCGCAGGGGGCAGCCGGGCAAAGCGGTTCCTGCACAAGACCAAGATGCGAAGGCTGCCCAGAGCCGACCCCAGACCTTCAGGCACATCCTCCAGGCCGTTGTTCCCCAGGTTCAGCACCTCAATGTCCCCGATGTTGGCCGGCAGCACCAGCTGGGGGGCGTCGGGGGACTCGAGTGAATCGCGCCGACAACCCTCACGCCGGCACTGGAGCCCGCAGCTGCATGCCGCGCTGCACCCCAGCCGGCGCCCGGGCCCTCCTCTGGCTCCCGCTGCTCCCGGGCCACCACCCCTGCGCGGCCAGCGGCCGTGGGTCCCTAGCGCAGCCAGCGGCCGGGCGCCCGCAGCTGGGGGGCGGCGGCGGCGGCGACGCGGGCAGCTCTGGGGGGCTCCGGGCAAGCGGCGCGGAGCTGGGCTGTGGCCGCGCAACACGGCTCCTATTCTCCGTGCTCCGGGGCCATGGGCGCGCCAGGCAGCAGGGCCGCCGCCCGCCGCCGCGCCGCAGAGGATGCCTGCTCCTCTTCCAGCTCCGCCCACCTCGCGGTGCCTGGGTAGCCGACTCCAGCCCCGCTACCCTCGCAGCGGCGGCCCGGAGGCCGGCGGCGTCGCCTCCGCTAGCAGCAGGAGGAGGGCAGCGCTCGGCTCCGCTGCCGGCATGCTGCGGGCGCAGGGCCGGGGCGCCGGCGGCGGCGGCGTCTCCTTGTCTCCGTTTCCCCGCGGCTCGGGCGTGAGCGCGAGCGCCGTGTCCCCGGCGCTGGGCGAAAGAGTAATTTTTTTAAATCTCCTTACATAAAAAAGTGAGAGTACCCAGGGCCTAGTCATGGATCTCTGCATCCAGATCCCTCAGTAGTTGGATGAGGTTTCTAGCACAACAATTAGGGTGTTTGGCCATCCCATCACCAGAGTAGGTCAGTTCGGGCTCTGGGAGTCCAATTAACGAGAATGAGGAGGGTTTATATGAGCGAGAATTGTTGAGACCAAGGTTGGATAAAGCACAGGGACAAATAGCCAAATGAATGGAAACACATGAACTATGAACCAATGGCTGAGGGGTCCACATTGGATCAGGCCCTCCGAATGGGTGAGACAGTTGATTGGCTTGATCTGTTTGGGAGGCATCCAGGCAGTGGGACCAGATCTTGTGCTCATTGCATGAGTTGGCTGTTTGAAACCTGGGGCCTATGCAGGATTGTTTGGCTCGGCCTGGGAGGAGGGGACTAGACCTACCTGGACTGAGTCTACCAGGTTGACCTCAGTCTGTGGCTGTGGAGAAGGCTTTGCCCTGGAGTAGATGGGAATGGGGGGGGGGGGTTGGGGGGAAGGTGAGGGGGACGGGAGGGGGGAGAACAAGGGAATCCGTGACCGATATGTAGAACTGAATTGTATTGCAAAATAAATTAAAATAAATTAAAAAAAAAAAAAAGAAAAAAAAAGTGAGAGTATAAATGGAGTGGTTCCCTGGTGAATTTTACAAGATCCTCAAAAAAAAAAAGACCATCTTGTATATCATATATTTGCATTATGATTCACAACACTACCAAAATTAAAGTTATGAAGTAGCAAGGAAAATAACTTTATGGTTAATGGTCTCTACAACATGAGGAACTGTATTGAAGGATGGCAGTATACGAAAGATTGAGAACCTCTGTCTTGAAGAGAATGTTTCAAATAGTACTTCCTGAGTCTTATTCCCAGAAATGGATGTATGAACTCATAGGAAATTGTTACACAGCACACTTGTAGCTGCAGGGATTCAGTCAATAGTCTGAGGGTCCCTGTTTCTTGAGAATAAGGGGGACATGGTAAGACTGGTGATTAGCTCTTTCTCCCTGGAAGATGAATTATCCCACAAGAAGGAAGGCAGCTAGAAGAGGAGCCTGGCAGTGCATTTATGGTGAGGCAGGAATTGAGTGAACAGTAGGGCAACTGGACATTTTTGAGAATTGAGACTGAAAACCTATATTCTTACAGTCACTGAAATGCTAGCATATTGGGGAGACTCTGGATATACAGACTGCAAGAGAGCATGGTTCAAAGCAGAAGTTGCAACTAGAGTCCTCCAAATGTCATAAACTTGACCCTGCACAACATATGGACACACTAGATCTGATTGTTCTCTAAGTAATGGACATTCTGTGGTCCTTTCTCTTCCAGATCAACTTTTTTGGTGACAGCTGCATATGAGATAAGACAAAGAATCAGGGAAATATAGGACATGGGAAGAGACAGGAGCCCTTCATCCAGGAATTGGCTTGAATTCTCTCTCTATTTGAGAGTCAATAATTCCAGTACAATTAACTATTGCCTAAGACCTTTCTCCTTTCCCAGTTATTAACTAACAGCTTAATAATTTCACTAGAAATGCCACTTACAATAAAAGACATGTTGTAAATGCCTTCTTGCTCATCTTTCTACATTAACAATCCATCCTTGTTATCCCATCCAAAGCACTTCCACCATACAATCAAACTTATAGGAGAGAAAATGTAGGCTGAGGAGATTGCTCAGTGGGTAAGGCACTTGCTATGTTTGAAGTACAGAGGTAGATATAGACACAAATCCTGGGGTCTTCTTGATCATCTAGTGTGATATTTTATTTGTGCTGAAATGTGGTGATATTTTATTTGTACGTTAATAAATAAAGTTTGCCTGGAGATCAGAGGTAATAGCCAGCCATTAACATAAACGTCAGGCAGTGGTAGCACATGCCCTTAATCCGATTACATGGTAGGCAGGGTCTCTGTGTGTTCAAGGAAACAGCCAAGTGTGGTAACACATGCCTTTAATTCCAGTATCAAACATAGAGACCTGGAGGTCTGTACAGACAGGCAGTGACAAGGAAGTGAGGTAGTTGGGCTAGGAGCCAATGAGAGGGCAGAACAGCAAAGCAATACAAGCTTGGCTAGACAGGAATTAGCTCTCTTAGAAATCTACGGCAGTGTGGTGAGTTAAGGTTAGCTGGTGGCTCTATTGCCCTGGTCTCTAAGGCTTTCACCCCTATATTTGGTTCTGTGTTTCTTATTTAATAAGACCATTTAGAAATTTGTCTACAATCTAGTCCTGCCTAAATGATAAAGTCCAGGTTCACTAAGAGACCTTTTCTTAAAAAATCATAAGAGAAATAGTGGAAGATACTGGACGCTAATAGTCTGGCTTTTACACATGCACACACAAGGGAATATACAAAATATGTACCTGCATCCACATCCCCCACCCTCTATATGAGGTAGGGAGAGTACCTCTATCTCAAAGCTGTTATTGAAAATTTAGTGACATGTAAACCAAGACAAGAGAAATACATGTCTCTGCAAGCTGGCTTAAAATATCATTGAAGTTAACAAAAGGCCCTAAATGTTAATGAAGTGCTAAGAAGATGCAAATCAGCTGGGCATTTCATCACAGGTCAGTTGTAATCCCAGCATGTGGGGAACAAGACTACTCAATCTTCAATAAATGAAAGAGACTAGTAAAAGTGAAGCAAATTTTAATAGGCTGTTGTGCAGAAAGGGACACCAGCATAAAGAAAAAGAAAAATGGCTGCCATAATGATGTGTCACAAGACAGTGGATTCATTTATTTATGTATTTACGTATTTGATTTTTTGAGGCAGAATTTCTCCATGTAACAGATCCAGCTGTCCTAGAACATACTTTGTAGACCAGGCTGCCCTCGAACTCACAGAGATCTGCCTGCCTCGTGTCTTTGTGGTAACCAACAGCTGTCTAAGTGGACTCAAGTCCTGCTTCACAGGAAGAAAATCATGTCTAGTACTGGAATCCTAGGCATTTACCCATGCCTAGTGAGGTCATGAGTCTTAGAGGAGAAAGTACTGTGGTCACGTCACTAGAGCAACATATTTCCTAACTGCTTCTAAAACATATCCTTATATTCAGAGATTAGTGTAGGTATCACCCCACATCAAAGAAGCTACTCTTTGCAACAAACTGAGCTGATTATAGAAAACTACAACTAGTCAAAATGCAGATATGAATTGATTGTGAGGTGCCCAGTCCTAATGGCGACATCTACAACATAACTTCTGCACTTCCGGTTCAGAGAACCAAGAAATCTACTGTAAGACTGTGTCTCCTAGAAATGATTGGAAAGTTATTTCCACTAGAAACCACAAAAGTATGGCTACCTAAACAAGATGTAAACCATAGTAATATCAATAAACATATTAATATGAAAGGGGACAATTTTGCAGAACCCCTCTCATAAATAAAAAAAACTAGAGGTAATTAATGACTGGTGAGGAGGAATAATTAGTTTATTCCAGGGATTTGTTCCATAATTGGCTATTCAATGTGAAGTAGTCAGCTCTGAAATCATACACACCCAAGCCACACTAAATGGACTCAGGTA